AAGGCAATGGTTTCTAACTGGAAGTCTTCAAATATTATTTTTACTTTAGAATACCATTTTTGGATCCTAATTTTTTGTAATAGTCCTAACACTAAGTTATGTGTTGAATTTTCTTCTGGTTCTAATTGTTGATCAGATGAAGAATTATTTTGTTCTTCGTCTGATGGGGATTGGATGTCGTTTTTCCCCAAAAAAACTCTTGTGTTTGAATGTCACTGAGCTGTGAATGAATTTCTAAGTTTTCTAATTTTAGAACCTTAATTTCTTTTTTGATTTTATTGACTTATCTTTGTAAATCCTTGACTATAATTTCCTTCTTAGTTTTATTGAACATTTCCAGGGTTGTACTAAGATTGATCTTTGGGATTACTTGGGGCTGCCTAGTACTGACTTCTTCTTGATAGACTAGCTTTTTTAATTTCTTGAGATAAAATGATTTTAATTCAGGGTCTTCAACTTTATTGATTAATTCAATAAGAAGATCTTCTTGTTTATTGAGGACTGAAATTTTATTACAACAAGCATCTTTGCATCCTATCTCAATATCAGGGGATGAGAGACTACTTGAGGATTGACTGGAAGAAGATGAACCTAAATCATCTTCGGATTGACTATGGTTTGTGTCTTTGAGTTCTAAGACTTGGATTAACTGGGTTTTCTCTTCTTCTGAGATTTTCAACTGGTTGATTGTTTTCTTGACTCTACATTTATTTGCATAAGGATTGAATTTGCCACGCTTGCAATTCCCTTTTTGTTCTTGATTTTTGGAGTGAAGTTTTTCTGTGGGTTTCCTATTCCACTTGCTGGACTTGGCTTTCTTGTAAAATTTATTTGTTTGAAAATTCTTATTTTTGAATTTGTTATGTTTGGGGTGTTTCCTACTGGAGTACCTATTTGAGATTTATTGTAGACTTCTGATTTTTTTTTTCTTTCTATAGGATGGAGCAATAAGAGGTAATCTATATTGTTCACAAAATGTTCCTGATTCGTATTTGGCTATTGACTTGTTTGGTAATTTTCATATCAATACACATTTTCAATCCTTCTTTCTGGATAATATTAATAATATTTCCATAAGTAAGGGTATGATACCTTCTTCATTAACTAAAATGTTTATGATTTTATGGGCAAATAGATTTGGTAATCCATTAATAAATTTTTCTTTCCAAAATGGTTGATTACTATCTTCTCTAAGCATGATTCTGGATATGAAAACATCTTTGTACCACGTAAAATCGCTTAGGGTTAGACATCTTAAGTTACCAAGTTGGTCATAAATTTTGGTGATGACATTACTAGGTGTCCCTATGAAATGTTATATGATAGTGAAAAGTAATGTGTTGATCGTATTTGGGACTCCTCTTCCGATACGTTCATCGAAAATAGGTGTTCCTTCTTCATCTCTTTTGACTACATTTTTTTATTTCATTTTTGGATTGTTCAGTAAGATGTTTTTCCCACCAGGAATGGAGCATTCCTGTAAATCCAATGACCAAAAGGTCGACAACTTGGGTTTGATTGAGGTTATGATTGGTAATATAACTATTAGTAGCCATGGAGATGTGTTGTAATTTGTTCAAAAGTTCTTGTTCTGATAATCCATCTATGTTCCATTCATAGAGTTTATCAGCCGAGACTGCGAATTGGTTTTGGATGTTTCTTTCCTCAAATTGAATATCCGGAGGTGTTGGCCTTGGATACTAATTTTTTGGTAAGAGTTGTCGGGTTGACTCTTTTGTTTGTGATACGTTTTAATTCAAGATTTTGAAAAGTTTCTTCTACTTTTCTGATGGAATTTATTTCACTCTCGCCTTTTGAATCCCATATTGCAAAAATTGTTTCTTGTTGAGATTCATCTGGGTGTTGTAAAACATTGAATGTTTTTTCTTGTTTTAACTCTTGTAACATTTGATCTATTTTTTTACTTGTGGAGATTGTTTTTAAAGTTGTTGTGCTAGACAAGGCTTCTGGGAAGTTGACTAAGGGTTTTTCCTTAATTGTTGATTTGGGATATGAAAGTCTATCTATTTTGGTTTCTATTTTATCTAGCTGTTTTCCTATGGAGTGTAGACTCTGGTTTGTGAAATTATTTTGTTCAATGACTGGCTTGACTCTTGCATCTTCTTTGGGAAGTTTGAAAGGAGTGGTTGGTACTTGTGTGTTTGTGGTTGTGATTAAAATTGTTTCTTGTGGAGGGTGACTAGAGGAGACTATGGTTTTGTCTTCTTTGACCCAATTTTCTTTGGTGATAACTTCTAACTTCTTTTCAAAATCGTAATGTTTTTCAAGGAAATCAAAGAAAAATATTTCAAATCTACATTTTTTCATGAAATTTGTCCATTTATTGTAAATGTCCAATTTTTTTTCTTTTGTATATTTTTCCCTAAATGTGTTTCTTCTGGGAATTTAGGACTAGTAATTAGTGGTTGACTTAACTTGCTTCGAAATTAGATTCTGTTGGAGAGGTTTGTTCTCCTTGATTTTGGGTGTTAGGTTGGTATATTGGATGAGTAACCTGAGAGGTTGTTTCTACTGATTTTAACTTCATGTTAAGTAAATCATTGATCAATTCTTGTTGGGTGACTACTGAGCTGGTTTCTACTGATTTTAAATTTTTGTTGACTAAGGAATTAATGAGATCTTGATCTCGGCCTAACATATCAGTTGTTGTGGATCCAGAAAAAGAATTTCAATTTGACTCTAAACATTTGTGTGACTAGGCTAACTCGTGTAAGTGGACACTAGATTTTCTGGCTGAAGGGTTGAAGTTGATTTTAACTATTCTGTCAAAATATTGTTCTTTGTTGTCGAGGTTGACAAAGCTATTTTGTATGCTTACTGGTTTGCTTTTATTGATCAAGCACCAATCTGAAGGTAGAAAAATATATGACCATTTGATAATTCTGGGTATTTTGATGTTGGCATTTTCTTGATTGGTTTGTATCAAGAGCGTGTGGTCTCTAGGACTTTTAAGTAAGGCTTGGAAATTCATGTTTGTTCCTGTAACTTTGTAGTAAACTCTCAAGAACTGGGTACCCATAAGTTTTGATGTTTAATGTGAGTGCTTTCAGCATGTGGGGATCTGAAAGACTTATCGTGAGATTTGGGAAACAATCAAAATGAATTGGTTCATTGTAAAGACTTGACTCAATCATCCCAGGAATGCTATCACTGAAGTCAGTGAATCTTGCATCTCAGAGACATAACAAAATAGAGGTAATGAGGCATTTTCTTATTAAGGGCTTGACTGCTATTTGGACTAGACCTATGTGAATGTAATTGTAACCATCTTTTCTATGAGTTTTAATTTGTTCTGATGTGAATAATTGACAAGTTTCATATTCTTTACTAAGAGAATAAGCTTTTTCAACAGTTTTGACATGATGTTCACTTCTAAAAGAGGCTACTAACCATTTCGTTTTGTAAATGTTTTTACTAGAAACCTTGGGGATATTCCAATCTCCAAAGTCGACACTATCATCTGTTTGAAATTCTAATTTTTGTTCTTCATTTACTATGTATAGAATTCTAATTAAACTGGATTTGGAGCTAGTGCTGGCCATTGGATTAGATCTAAATAATGTACTCATAATGCTCAAAATGCAGGTTTTCAATATACAGAAATCTTACTGGCTTTACCTTCCTCGCGTATTTGCTAAACTCTCTCTCCGCTCATGCCAATCTTATGGACTTATTGTTTGGAACACGCCTTACTATTTGGGTTGAGAGTAAACAATCCTACTTAAAAGGTTAACAAATAAAATAAACTGTAAATGAAAATTGAAGGATAAACATAATGCAGTGATTATAAAGATGATAACTCAATTACCACTCACTTGGCTCTAATACCAAATGGGACGGAACTAGTGATGATTATGATGAGGGCAAGTGAGTGGTTTGCTTTGTATACAAAATACAAAGCAAATACACACACACACACACACACACACACACACATATATATATATATATATATATATATATATATATTTCCAAAACCCATGGAGAAAATGTAACATGGCACTGTCATCACACTACATTAATCCTACTTGCACCAAGTGGGAATAACAAACATATAACTCCCTGTCACCAATAGACGAATTATTACATATTTTTCGTTATACTTAAGGGTTTCGTTATATTTAAGGGTTTCAAATTTTTGAAGTGGTTTGCTTTGTATGCAAAATACAAAGCAACACACACACACACACACACACACACACACACACACACACACACACACATATATATATATATATATATATATATATTTCCAAAACCCATGGAGAAAATGTAACATGGCACTATCATCACACTACATTAATCCTACTTGCACCAAGTGGGAATAACAAACATATAACTCCCTGTCACCAATAGACGAATTATTACATATTTTTCGTTATATTTAAGGGTTTCAAATTTTTGAAGTGGTTTGCTTTGTATACAAAATACAAAGCGCGCGCGCGCACATATATTTCCAAAACCCATGGAGAAAATGTAACATGGCACTATCATCACACTACATTAATCCTACTTGCACCAAGTGGGAATAACAAACATATAACTCCCTGTCACCAATAGACGAATTATTACATATTTTTCATTATATTTAAGGGTTTCAAATTTTTGACCTAATTTATTCTTACTCATCAAGAAATTTTTTAGTGTGTCAGAAACACGGTTCGGCACACTAAGTGTTATAACGCAATTGTTTAAATTTTTTTTTTTTTAAGTTTCCAACTAATTATATTATTACACGTAGCATACCAAACCGTGTTTCTGTCACAGTGAAAAATCTCTCATACTCATCGCTCTACATCCTCTCTACTCTTGCTACCACCAATTACTTAGAAGGATTAGAATTTGATATAATGAAGACATGCCGTAGCCAACTCAGATCTATGTCATGAGCAAGGTGAAAGACACCTTTCATATATTAAACAATTAAAGCATGAGGAAAACGCATTCAAAATTGATAAATTCAAAAACACTCTTAAGGGTCCCTAATGACAATATTAATATGGGGACTCTCTCCTTAGTTCTTCTCATAACTTCCTCACAATCTGATCAGAAACTGTCATTCAACCCACCAAAAAAGTTTATGATCCTAAAAAAGCTAGGACAACACCATAAACATGTCTTCTCTCCAACAAACCTTCTCATCCAAATCCAGTTCGAACTTCAACGAGTTCCAATGGGTTATTCAAATCCGAAAAACACTCGGGGAAGAGCTCGACGATGATAGCGAAATCCCTGTTTCCGTTTTCAATGTCCCAAAAACCCTTTTGGCCAGTGATCCTGATTCCTACACCCCACAAGAAGTTGCAGTTGGTCCTTACCATTATTTGCGTCCGGAGCTCTGCGAGATGGAGAGGTACAAAGTGGCTGCAGCTAAAAGAACACAAAAGAATCTCCAGTGCCTTAAGTTCCAAAATCTTGTTGACCAATTGATAAACCTTGAGCCGCGGATTCGTGCTTGCTACCACAAGTACCTGGATTTCAATGGTGAGACTCTAGGGTGGATGATGGCGATTGATGCATCGTTCTTGCTAGAGATGATCCAACTCTATGGAGCCAAAGAAGGGAAGATTTTGACAAGAGTTTCCTCAAAGATGTCACGCTTGGTTGACTATTCCGGCAGGAACTCAGCACACCATGCAATTCTAAGGGACTTGGTAATGCTCGAGAACCAAATCCCACTATTTGTGTTGAGAAAAATGTTGGAGTTTCGATTCCAATCGTTGGAAACCGCCGACGAGATGCTGCTTTCAATGTTGATGGGATTGTGCAAAGAGCTTTCACCATTCAAGATGAAGGATGAGGACCTACCAATGATCACAGTCTCAGAATGTGCTCACTTGCTAGACTTTGTGTACCAAATGATCACCCCCAAACTAGAACGCCGGCCCTCTGAAATTGTAGAAGATGAGGATCAAGGTGAAGGCACAGAAGAAGACAAGGAGTCAAAATCTACGAAGAACCCGAATTACGTTAAACAATTTCTTGAGGAAGTATGGACGCTGCTGTCGAAACTAAACAAAGGCCCGGTACGTCTCCTTAAAAAAATACTCGTATCCGGACCTATTAAAGTGATATTTAAATTGCCTTGGACAATCCTCTCCAGCCTTCCTGGATTTGCACTTTTGAAACAACCTGTTGCTTATTTATTCTCCTCCCAAGACAAAGAAGAAATCAAACCGGAAAATGAAAGTTCCGTCAACAAACCGCCATTGGTAGAGGAGATTACAATCCCTTCTGCGTCTGATCTTATGGAATCCGGGGTCCGTTTCGTGCCAACAAAGGGTTGCATTTCATCCATCTCCTTTGATCCCAAAACGGTCACACTTTACCTCCCCGCAACTAGCTTAGATGTGAACACAGAGGTGATCCTGAGAAACTTGGTAGCTTATGAAGCATCAAATGCATCAGGGCAGTTGGTTTTTACGCGCTACACTGAAATGATGAACGGGATTATAGACACGGAGGAGGACGCAAAGCTGCTTAGAGGAAAAGGTATAATTCTGAACCGTTTGAAGAGTGATGAAGAAGTGGCCAATCTGTTTAATGGTATGAGCAAGTCGATTCGGTTGACGAAAGTGCCATTCTTGGACCAGGCGATTGAAGATTTGAACAAGTATTACAACGGTAGATGGAAGGTTAAAATGGCAAAAATTTTCAAGGTTTATGTGGTTGGTTGCTGGCCAATTCTTGCTTTGCTGGCTGCCGTTTTTCTCTTGCTATTGATGGCATTGCAAGCGTTTTGCTCAGTTTATAGCTGCGGTCGCATATTTCACATCAACACCACCACTACTACTTAGTGATGATGCTTAATTAGTGTTTTTTTTTTGTGTGCTCAATTAGTTAGTTATATCTTAGTCCCTTCTATTTTTGCTAATCGATCACCTCTTGATTTGATTTTTCTGGCTAAAGAAAAGGATATGGCTGGGTTTGCCTTCTTACTGTACTTCGTTATGCTTTCTATGGTGGATTTGCAATTAATCAAATGATTGTATGGTGCTTATTTCCCTAATGGGTTTGATTCTTTCTTTTCATTTTTAATCGATCGAATTAGTGGTTGTAAATTTGTAATGATGATAAGGGACATGATTGTTCCGATTGTATGTCAATGGTGCGATATATTATCTATATGCAATTTTCTATTCTAAAAATTTCATACCACTAGGCACTATACTTAGTAAGATTATCAACTTCATAATAACAGCCTTTACAGGTTTTGTTTTGTTTTCTTCTTCAAACAATAGCAGTTTTATTCATTAAATTCGAATAGTATCATTAAGTCATTACAAAACAACCGTATATATAGCCAGTCTAAAAAGATGGAGTTTCGTCTGTGAGACTCTAGACATAAAGTCATAGAGTATGCTGCATCGTTACAGCAACGACAATGGGAAAATGAAAATCTTTCGCCATCCGAATATACCTCCAGTAGACACACATGTCAACCGGGCACCTTCTAGCATAGGTATGAGAGTTGATGAATCTGATTCGACAGTTACGTACGTGCATGAACCCTGATTAGTCAATACGTACATGCAACGCATCTGCTTCTGCCTCCACTACAAAACTAGAAGCACAAGGAAACCTGATCCCCCTCCCTCCTCCCATCTGAAACCACCCGACGCTATCTCTAACGATCCATCCAACTCCTCCTGCCATCAAGGTGTCACAGTTGACCTTAAGAGTGCCAAAAGCGACTTCCTCCAGCGTTCCTGCTTGCTCCTTCTTCCCCCAGCATGCTGCACAGCAAGCACATCTCCATATCAGAAAATTGGGTCATTGAGTTTCGTGAGATGCACATGGCCATGTAATTAAGGGATTTTATTATTTCCCATGATGTTTTGGTGCCTTTTTAAATATTCCACTTGGTGGTAGGAGCGTTTTGGCACACCAGTAAATAATCACGTGGATTGAATTGTGTATTATTTCATGAGAAATCCTACAAGAATAATGAAGAAAAAGACCTGAGCTCACAGCATGAATTGTCAGAATATATGTTTAGTAAGAACTGCTACTTAATTACGGAGATTTATATTTAATAAAGGAAATAAAAGAACCAAGAAGGTTAGGTCACTCAGATATACATTATACTATATATATCTATATATATTCTACCTGCTGCGATATGTATGTAAGTACTAAAAATCCAACATCCTTTCCATGTGAAAGGCTAACTTACTTTATCTATAGATGTCTGTCTAAACTCCAAACGTATAAATTATTGAAAAAAGTCGTCCAACCATTGCGGATAATAGATATGTCCAAGAACTAACTGGCAGCTGAGCTTGAGTCATTGTTGAATAATATAATCTACCAAGCTACCTAAAACTTTATAGTGCATTTCTCCCTTAAAAGGATATATAACTTTGGATTTGATGTTGTGGATGTATAATTTTCGAAAAATTACTTGATAAATTTTTAGGTCTAGCATGGCTCACTACTACATTAGTGATATTGTCACTAACTCAACCACCTATTATTAAGTGTGTGAAGTTTTATTATAGAAGACCTCGATTATTTCGGTCTGGTTTGGAAGATTCAAGATTGTAGTTGATTACTCCAAAACTACCAGCAAGGAGATGATGCTGTTTGCTGGCCCTGCATGCATCCTAGAAAATTCTTGAGTGCAAGGTAAGTTCAGCTCCTCAGGCCAAGGAAATTACAGGGAGTTCTAATCGGGATTTTGCTCCACTGTCGCTGGGGTACAGGATAACTTATTCCCACCGACACGTGTAGAGATGGTACAAATAGTTTTAAAAAAATGGATTAATTTTCTAAAAGCTAGTTTGGAAGTGTTCGTAAAATGAGTGAAAGCATTTTTGATGAAACTGATTTTGGCTTCCAAAAGCACTATAAGTGTCCTTCTTGCAAAAAGCACTTAAATGCTTTTCCAGAATCCACTTGGATATTTTACTAAGAGCAACTTCACCTCTAAAAACCAAGCTGGGCAAGAGTCTATTCAATCCACCCAAATGAATAGTAATTGACGGCAATGAATAGTAATTACCTAAGTGCATCTCCATCCCTAATCTGAATAGCTTAGTCAATTCATATTAAAATATTATTAATTTTTATAAAATAATAAATAAATAAAATTATTTTTAATTTCGGATAGGATTTTTAACTAATCTTGTCACGCCACGTGATCTAAAAGTAGAATTTTTTGTGGAAGATGATTAGGTATTTATATATAAAAAAAAAAATCGTTTTATTTTTTTTCTGTATTTTTAAACAATTTTTTTAATTTTTTTTATTAAGTTAATTAATCTGGATCGTGGGATTTCAAATAGGTTGAAATCCAACAGCCCAAAAGTGGACACTTGGCGAACTATAAGATTCTGACATTTTTTTAATGCTGGTACGCCTGCCCACATGTGTGTGTTTCCCATGCACTAACAGCAAAAAAAGAAATTCACATGGCTGACCACATGCTAACGCCATGTAGGCCGGTTTCTTACTCAACATTTTGTGCTGGGCTCAAAGTTAGCCTTTACTTTGGGTCAGCTAATTGGATGGGGTGGGGTGGAATTTTTTTTTTTTTTTTTTTTTTTTTGGAGGGGGGCCTAGGGGGGGGGATGGGCTATTGTCCAACTCATTTGTTAGTGGTGGACTTGCTCAAAGGATTGGTTCAAAAACATTTTAACCAAAAGTACTTCCAGACATTTTAAAAGTACTTCTAAGAAAACCCTAAGCAGTCTATTCAGTTTCTTGTAATTTGAGCTGTATCTTTCATGGAAATTTTTCTTTTCCTTTTTATCCTTAGTTACATCTTGCAGGATCTAAATTCTCATTAGAGAGGAGGATAAAGTTATTTTCTACGATTAGCCAAACCATCAGGCCAATCCCCATCCTAGAATATTTGAGGCACGATGGACCAATTCCGATATTATATATAGGTTGAAATTTGACTGAAAAGTCAAATTTAACTGGCTCGAAGCACAATCTTACTCCACCCAACCAATCCTCGATCAATTTGGACCAAGTGTTTGAATACAAGCAACCTTACGATCACTAAAAAACAAACAAAAAAACATAAACATTACCCTTTATTTGACTCCTTTCAATCGAGAAAAACTTCAGTAGGGCTTAACTTAAGAAACTTCGGTATAACTTAATCCAAGGTTATTTCTCCTCTCAATCGGGTACAAAAAAAACCCTTAACACTATACCATTTCTTCACTCTATATATTCAAATAATCTAAATAACTCCGTGTACAAAGATCATTTATTCACTCTATGGTCAAATAATCAAATGACCCCTTGGCAATACAACCATCATTTAACTACTTGCGAAAAGCAAATCGTCTCCACTCTTGTTCAAGGTCCGTCATTTATCTCAAACACAAGGTCAAATTCTTACTAGAGCAAATCGTTTAAATCTCTTAACTACTTGCAAATCTCCAAATTGTATCAAACTATATTGGATGAACTGAGATTCTCTCCGGATTTCTGTGTTCGGAGTCTAAGGAAGAGTGGAATAAACTAATGTGGGCCACATTGTTGATGTAAATTTCCGCCGTCTCTTCTTTTGACAAAAATACACTTGTAAAATATTAACACCTAAGATTAAAGCAAAAAGCCTCACGTGCCCACGATGAATGGGAGCTTTTGGCCAAAGAATCTCCGATGCCAAAGTTAGAATTTTGAAAGAAAAAAAATGTGTTTAGACGTTTGCAAGTAGAAAAATCCTCTTGAACTTTGGAGATAAAGTGAGTATTTATAGGAAAGATGGAGGAAATGGGCCGCTCTCTAGAGTTTAGGGGTGGACGGTGTGACATCCCACATCGCCTAGAGGAGTGATCCTTAAATGTATATTCCCATCCTTACCTAACACGAGGCCTATTGGGAGCTCACTGACTTCGGGTTCCGTTGGAACTCCGAAGTTAAGCGAGAAGGGGGCTAGAGCAATCCCATGATGGGTGACCCACTGGGAAGTTGCTCGTGAGTTCCCAAAAACAAAACCGTGAGGGAATGGTAAGCCCAAAGCGGACAATATCGTGCTACGGTGGTGGAGCGGGCCCGGGAAGTGATCCGCCCTGGGCATCGCCTAGAGGAGTGATCCTTAAATGTATATTCTCATCCTTACCTAACACGAGGCCTATTGGGAGCTCACTGGCTTCGGGTTCCGTAGGAACTCCGAAGTTAAGCGAGAAGAGGGCTAGAGCAATCCCAGGATGGGTGACCCACTGGGAAGTTGCTCGTGAGTTCCCAAAAACAAAAACCAGAGGGAATGGTAAGCCCAAAGCGGACAATATCGTGCTACGGTGGTGGATCGGGCCCGGGAAGTCGTCCCACCCTGGCCGGGATGTGACATTGGTATCAGAGCCTAACCCTGGCCGTGGTGTGCCGACGAGGACGTCGGGCCCCTAAGGGGGGTGGATTGTGACATCCCACATCGCCTAGAGGAGTGATCCTTAAATGTATATTCCCATCCTTACCTAACACGAGGCCTATTGGGAGCTCACTGGCTTCGGGTTCCGTAGGAACTCCGAAGTTAAGCGAGAAGAGGGCTAGAGCAATCCCAGGATGGGTGACCCACTGGGAAGTTGCTCGTGAGTTCCCAAAAACAAAACCGTGAGGGAATGGTAAGCCCAAAGCGGACAATATCGTGCTACGGTGGTGGATCGGGCCCGGGAAGTCGTCCCACCCGGGCCGGGATGTGACAGACGGGCTTGTGTTTAAAGGGAATATTGTAAGATATTTGTGTAAATAAATATCTTGGAGTAATTAGGTCAATATCATAAATAAATGGAATTAGGATTACATACTTGAAAGATGTCTTCTCTATTTAGGAATGTATTTATGATAAAAATAAGAAATTATCCTATCATAAATACCTTTGACTTTTTCTACGCACAAAATGCCTCGAGCAGTCGTTGATCTCTATCTACTCTACCTCATTTGTGTGTGGTGAATGAGAATGCTCTCTGTTCATTTAATAGGGGCAATCTTGTCTTTCTTGAAAAATAATTCACGTGCCAGCTCTATGATTTTTGAGATTTTTTTTGTTCCACACATGATATAAAATAAGTAATCCGAATCTATTAATCCTTGAAGAGAAATGTTAAGGAGAGTCTCTCTAAGTGAGATTCTATATGAACTTTCTGTCATTTAGCACAATGTTTATTAC